AGCATGCAAAGAGCTTTAAGATTCACTCATTGATTATAACGTTGTTAATGATTCGCATTTTGCACACTGTCAGACTCAATTTAAACCCCAAATCCTACTTTGCAATATGATTACAAGTCGAATATATTTTAAAATTTCGAAGATTAAAACACAGATTTTAGATCTAAGTTAAATAATTTTTTTTTTTCGTTGGATAAAGTTGACATTTTGTTTCGATTTCCAGTTAAAGAAATGGCAAAGAAGAGGGGGGAAAATACAAAAAGAAACAAGCAGTTTGACATTAATTTGGATTGCATCTTTTAACTTGTTAAGCCGTCTGCACTTTTAAGGTCATTTATAAGAAACGAGACATTAAATCCTGAAAATGTAATTTGAAAGGTTGGAAAAACAAGCAGTTGCCTCTTAATAAAAACTTAATTTCGGTTAATCGGGTTTTCTCCTCCCCGGGTCAATTATATTATTTTAATTTTTGGTTTCTATTGGCTACAGACAGAAATTTCCGACAACTTATTTGCTCTTTTTTTTTTTTTTAAAGAAAAAATAAATTTATTTGAGTTAGTTAAACTTTATCATAAATTTGTATTTTCATGGACTATCTTTTCTTTTTTTCTTTATGATAATTAAGTTTCTCCGAGTTGTTTTCACGCAATGGAGGTTAAAAATTACAAAAAACAATTATAATTTTTTTCCATCAAAAATAAAACTTAGGAACCACTTGGGATTTTTATGGCTCTTTAATAGAATTTCTCCATATGTTTAGTTATTCGAGAATGACTAAGCCTATGTTAATAATTGAATACTGTTGTTAGAATGCCTTTGCGTAAGTAAAGCTTTGGAATAATTTAAGTAATTTTTAGTGTCGGAGTTTGAACATAATTATAGAAACGAAATGTTTACGGGCGCCATATTTATATATTTTTTTTAAAAAATAAATAAATTAGCTAAAAAGTGAAGAAAAGTTAGGAGGCGCTAGCGGCATTATCATTTCGGACTTCTTGCTAGAATGGAATGACTTGTGTCCCTCTGGTGGTCACTTTCGGCGTAACTATGAATAATAGAGAGGAACACGTGTTGGTGATGTTTACCAGCGGGAGAAACAAAGTTTGGTAGGCGTGAATTATTAAGTAAGAGGTCACACTTCGGCTTCTGGTTTCGGCAGACACTTTAATGCTGCAAGAAGCGTTTGGCTCGTTTGTCTTATTTACTGATCATTCGTCACTCCATTTATTTATGTATAGCAATCCTATTGCACTTCACTGATATCGGGAAGGAGAATTATAATCTGATTTATTAAGTTATGTCACTAATAATCAATTTATATTTGCAGAAATTAATGCCGTTTCATTATACTTACTAATTGTTCCGCTATCACTCTTAACAGGACTTTTATCTCTCCGCAAATACCGTTTATAGTCGCTGTTTAATTGCTGTTATAATGATATAAATAGTTAATTTATGAAGCGCGACTCGAGAAAGAAAGTTATTTAACTTGAAGAGAATTTAATTTTTAGCATTTAAATTTGTAAAATTATATATAATCACTTGAAAATCGGAACATAATTAACTCAAATTGATTTTATTTAATTTAACAAAAACTGCGGTGTTTCTTAATGGGTTAAAAATGTATAATGATAAATTATAAAATTTTTATTCTAAAAAGAAAAGTAAAAGAAAAAAAAAGCATTCGGGATCCATTTAGTTAAACTGAATTCTTCAGAATTGCCAGTAGCAATGTTGCCAACTCTATAAATAAAAATCCACTAAGTACACTACTAAAATCCACCAGATTGCATTCAAAATAAGTTTTAGGATAAGATAACAGTTGATATGTGTAAATATTTAAATAGAATATATTTATTTAATATATATTTTTTTTCAAATAATAATAACTAAAATAAAGAAATACATCTGTTAAAATTTATTTGTAATTCTTCAAGTAAATTATAATATCTAGAAATTATATAAATTGGCAACACTATTAGAGATAAATTAATATAAAGAAATTTTAACGCAAGGGGACAGCACGATTTTATTTAGTACCAGATTATTTAGAATTTAATTCATTTATTATCCAAAATTTTTCTAAATTGCGTAATTAATAATTTAATAAATTTATCAAATTTTTACTTTAATTAATTAATGTTTATGGAATAAAAAAAATTATTTATTTTATATTCTAAATAATTATCAAAAATAATCTAAGTGTTTAAAATAAACTTTCTGAAATAAAGTCGAGTTTCTTTTTTATCCGACTCCATAAATTTCTATACGATGAGGGTTTTAGGAAATCAAGCAATTAATACGCTTTCGGATCAACCAAACTAACATTCTGACACTAGCCAAATCGATCCGAACTATTTGACACTCCAGACACGATATTCTGAAAATATTCTTTCTTTTTTCGTTCTCTCTCTCTCTCTCTCTTTCCCTCCCTCTTTCTCTCTTCCTTCCATCGTTTCTGTCAACGTCAGAAATTTCTCCGAAAAGCGCTTAAAGGTTCAACAATGGACAGTCGATGCCGTTAGGCCTAGCTGACAGTTAGGAATCGATGGTAGATTTTTTTTAGTGTCAAGAGAACGTGTGTTGTTTTGCCTCCCCCTTTTCAGTCCGCGAGGCTGTCCTTAATTGTCCCTTTGTGTCGGTTGTGGATATAATGACGGGGTCGAGCGGCGAAATTATGGGTCCTCACGCCGTTTGATCCGGGACAATATTGACATATGAACAACAGTGTTCTCTTGCCAGGTGGAAGAACGGTCGATGAGGGCTGTCACCTTCCCGTGTCTCGTAATGCGTGTTCACCCTATTCTTTATCATTCACCTGTGTTTCGGATGTTATATTTATCGAAAGGTCAATGCCGACGATCGAAATTTATGCAGTTAATTACTTAAACGTCTGACTAGAATGATAAGGTGATCATCAAAGGTTTAAAATGTCGGCATGGCTTTCGTTTAAAAATGTCGCAACGATTGTTCCGTGTAGAAAATTTATTGGCCTAAGAAAATTGTATTTTTTTCTTTTTTTTTTTCTTCGAACTTTTATTCATCATACATTTTACACAATTTATGTTTAGGGAACTGTCGAAACGATAAAGAAAAGAAAGACGTGTCTTTAAGAGTAGATCGCGATCTGTAGTCAGGGATTAAGTTAAAAGAAAAAGAAAATGTTCTGAGAATGGTTCGCCATCTTTTCGGGACTCGGCCAACTCTCAGTTCAAAAATATTTTAATCCATAAATAACATAAAAATAAAATAATTTAAAAATTTCGCCACTAGAGGTACTTCTATGATTCTGGTTTTGCCGCTAGAGGAGCTTCTACGATTAATTAACACGGTACAACTCATGTACAAAAGCTCTATAACCCAAAATTAGCACAAAATATTTTAAAATTAATTAGATAAATAAATGTGTATTTTTAAAAAAAAAAAGGTGGCTTTTTATGGTTTTTTGGTTTAACCGAAAAGATCAACATTAAACATTTTTCCACATCAACACCTCTTCGTGAATTAATATTTAAAAACTCTCTGGCGACCATAAAATTAATTTTTAAATATCTTACAAATCACTATTTTTTATTTATTTATTCTAGCAAAGCGCGATGAAGATTTAATCTATCTCGAATCTTACTTTTTTTAAATCCGAACATAGTAAAAAAAGGTTAATTATAGTAATTATTTTAATCGAATGTTTTATTTATCAGAAGCAAACAGAACAAAAGTCGGTCTGTGACTTTATCAATGTTAACGTGAGGCCGTACGTACTTAATGATGATTTAAAATAGACTATAGATAATACACCGTTGAAAGAGCACGCATGGCAATCTGATGAAAAAGAATTACGCAGAATGCTAACAAAATGGCTTTGTCCGGATGTATTTTTATTTAATTAGATTTAAAAATATCCTAACACTTTTACTTATCTACCGAACCCAAGTACGACATTAGTTCTAATTTAGAAAATCTCGTTCCGCTTCCAAAATCCTTCTATACTTAGAAGAAGGGCGTCAATCGCCTATCTTCTCATCTAATTACCAGGTTCCGGGCGTGAAAGAAAATGTTACAAACTTAAGAAAGTTGACAATTGTAAGGTGTCGAATGGAATTTGTAATTTAAAAAAAATGATTCGCCATCTTTTCGGTATCCCATTAACTCTTTCGGTTCAATTTTTTATAATATAACTTGTAAATAAAATAATTTTAAAATATTGCCACCAGAGTGCTTCTATAGTTCTAGTTTTGCCACTAGAGGAGCTTCTGCAATTAATAAACAAATGGTACTCTTGTATACAAAATACTATAGCCCAAAATTAGCACAGAAAATATAATTAAAAATAAATCGAATGCAAATATATATATATATGTATATATATATATATATATATATATATAAATATAAAAAGTATGAATATCGAATGAAACCTCGTAAAAATTTTAAACGGGTTAAGGTACTAAGCGCGTACGATAATCTATTTAAAATACATCTAAAGCATCCATCGAAAAATCTTTTATAAGCGGTAAACGGTTGCTAGTTGAGCCGTTTGGAGTGAGAAACTTTGAAAAGAGTAGAAGTTGGGATGTGGTAGAGTCAGATTTATGGATGAGCTGGATACAGAACGACGCCTCTAAACCCTCCGGGTGTTACACAGAATCCCATCGGTTGTTCGCTGCTCTCTCCTAACTCCCTATCTGGCAGTGAGCCTTCGTTCGACTTGCTGCTTTACGATGTCCTCGATCGGGTGTGGGTCTTGACTGGCAAGGTTCTCCGTCGCTTGCCTTAAGCCGTCTATGTATCGTAAAACCTACAACTATACCCAGTATGTGCTCGCCTTCAATAGTGTTATCGCTTCCAGTAATCGCTGTTAGTCCTATCCAGAGTCGTTCTAACTGTCTCTAGAAAAAGTGTTCTCCGATATCGATTGAGCTTGTCAAGAATAAAGATCTTTAGAATTTTTAATACCCCTTTTTTTTTATATTAAAAAAAATTATAACAGGAGGCAGGAAAAGGGGTTTGTTTCTCCGCAATGCTCGGATGCTTTACGGTGTTGCCAATGCTTCAATTTCTAAATCACACTTTTCAAATTTGAATTTATTAACTTGTCTTATGTTTAATTTAATAACAATTTTGAATTTTGATGACTTTAATCATTCGTAAACTGAATTTATTTCATCAGAAATATATATTGTTGCACCGATACATCAAGCTGGCAACTGTTTGTTTCATGCACAACTGAATCCATATATTTAAATATCTACAATAACTAATATATAACTGTAACAGTATATACCAATATATTTAACTAAACATTTATCTGATGTTGATATGAACCAATATATTAATTCACGAATTTACCTGATATACTGTATTTAACTCGTTGGTTTACTAGGACTGCGAGCTGTATTCGATTCTAATCTTGAAAATTAACTTGAAAATTAAATCAATTTATATATTTNATTCATTCAAATCCTTGCTTTTTTTTTCTTATAATATTCTTTAATTATAATTGTCACAAATATTTCAATTTTTGATGTTACAATTTTGACATAAACCATAATAAATTTTTCTCTTTATTGAAGTCATTTTATCTAATGTTAAATATAAAGTGTTGACACGTTTCTGTCAAATGAATTTTCGACTTTGTTTATTAATTATTTTTAATTAAATATTATTAAGTTGATTACAACTCTCCAAAGATGTGTATGATCCTTATTTATGTATTTTGAAACATTTTTTTTTTATGTTCAAATATTGAATCAATAAAAACAAAAATGACAACTTTAACAAAATAAATAAAAAAATGTAGGAAAATATGAAGAATGTTAATGAATTTTCTTTAATATTTAACATACAAATTGATTGATTTATTTACAAAGACAGAGCAATAAATTGCCCCTTTTTTTTAAAAAAAAATCTACATAAACTTATACTTTGAAACAAAGTTAGTGCCTTTTTTTTCTAGTATAAAATATTATAGAATGTGCTTCCATTTTTTAAAAATAAATTAAAGGGTATTTTGCTTTTTTTTATGTTGGAGAGGGTCATTGACCTTGCACTGACTTTCCTAAAGTTCAAGTTATGAATATGCGTCAACAAGTCCAACATGGCTATCCATGGCTAAACAATACACGCTTAATAAGTTATCTCTTGCTTCAGACTGCTCTGAAACATATATGATGTTTACTGGAATAAATCAGCTTAGACCCTATACCGCTTGCCACTATGTTATATAATATTCTACTGGACAACATCAACTATATAATCAGTTGACAGACATTGGTAAATATGAAAACTTTCATTTTAATTCTTAACAAGTTTGGCATTATAACATAAACAAACTTTTAAAAAAATATATCTTTTAAACACAATGATGTGTTAACTAAAGATAGACTGTTCAACGTCCTTTATTCAATTGAATTTTAACACTTTGAATATCGCTGGTTTTGTAAATTAACAATACTCTAAGCCGGAGGAAAGTGACTAGGATGGACATGTTTTTAAGGTAAACTATTGTTTAGAAAAATAAAATAAAACATCAGAAACATTTGGTCAAATTAAGTGTAAAAATTGAAAAGAAATAAATAAAAGTAATTTTGTGTTATTATATTCTTCATTTCTCGAAATACTATAAAATGTAAAGTTAACCAGAAAATGAATATTTTGCATATTTTTAAATGTGCCACTTCATAATATAAGCTTAAAACTTACTTAATGCTGATTGCCTTATTAATTATAAATTTAAGCTAAAGTGACCGTAAAATTTTGAAATTGCGGAGTCTTGACAGCAAAACGTTTAAGAAGCGTTCAGTTAAAAACAATAATTTTCATAATACGTTTATTGAGAAAATTCTTCCCCACCAAGGAGATGTTGGAATCGAATAAAACTTTATTAGTACAAACTTAATAAATAAATATTAATAAAATATTAGTGATCGTATTAAATGTTTTTCTTCTCATGTTAAAACTGGAACGATGTCATCCTTATCGAATGGAACGTTTTCGATTAGACTCACCAGTTTTAATTTCTCAAATAAAATCAGTTTTCGAAGAAATTTTTCGTATGAATTTTTATCCAGATTATGCGTTACATCGGAGTTTTAAATGTAATATCATAATGACCACATTAAATGCCTACCAAAAGCTCAAAGAATCGCAGCGTAGGAAATAGACCTATATAGAAACAGAAGCAAGAAACATTTTCTTTATTCAATGAGAGGAGGCAAAAGATTAAATTCGTTAGATCCCAAGAATTACAGTTACAGCTACTAATAATTTTATTTTTATTCTTTTATAAAAATTATAGTTTTTTAATTCTTAGATTTCGTTATAATAATGCTAATACTGCAATTTCTTTATTCTAATTTAAAGCGAGATTTGTCACAAAAATTTTATGACAATAATTTTATTATAAAAGCATTTTTCATTTTAGTCGATGAGAATACTTTTTAAAAAGTTCTTTGTCATATATATTAAAAACTGATATCAAAATTGTTATTTACTGAAATAATTTATTTCGTTATAAATATTAATTAATAATATTTAACTAAACAAACTTATAGCAAAACTTGATAGGAGTAAGTATGAATGATTAATATTTAAATTTTTGATTCACGGAATATTCGACTAATATAATTAATTAAATGCAATAGAACTAATTATCTCTTGATTAATTATTTTTGTTAAGAAGAAAATTAATAATTATAAAAATAAATTTGTCTTTAGAAAGTTTAAGGCATCATCCTCTCGATAATTTCCCAACATGAGTACAGTCGCCCCCTATAACACTGTTGATTATTCCGTTTTATATGAATTCCATGTTGTACGAGTCACTTAAATTTTACAAATACCTGAGCCGTCCACAGCCCGGAAAACGTATTTGTAAAATCTAAGTGACTCGTACAACACGGAATTCATATAAAACGGAATAATCAACAGTGTTATAGGGGGG